TTCTTCATGTGCTTGTTGGCCATCTGAATGTCTTCTTCGGTGAAGTGTCTGTTCATATCCTGTGCCCATTTTTCTATTGGATTATTTACCTTTATCTTATTGTGGTGTTCAAGTATTTTATAAATTCCGGATATAAGTCCCTTATCTGAAGCACTGTATTCTTGATCCCTACCTATTTAGTCTGTATGCTGAGAAAATCATTGAAGAAGCTGGACTCTCTGAAGAAGAATGTATGATAATTTGAGAAAACTTATCAACAACCTGCACTATACAGATGATAATACCTTTCTTGTAGAAAATGAAGACAACTTGAAACTCTGCAGAAATCAAAGACTACAGCCTTCAGTATGGGTTACATCTCAACCTTAGGAAAATGGAAATCCTCACCTCTGGACCTCTAGGGAACATCATGATCTGTAGAGAAAATTTTTAAGTTGTCAGTGATTTATTTTTACTTGGACCCACAGTCACCACCAAGAGCAACCAAGAAACCAAAGACATGTTGCATTGGGAAAATCTGTTGTCAACAACAGCTTCTCAAAAAAGCTAACAAGCAAGGATGTCTGTGTAAAGACTAAGCTATTTTCATTTGCTTCATATGCAGCTGAAAGTTAGACAATGGACTGTTAACATAGAATAGAGAGATCCATGCTGCAGAAGGTCAAGGACAGTAGTCTTCAATATAAATTAAAGCTCAACATCAAGAAGACAAAGTTTCTCACCACTGGGCCAATTGGCAGCACCATGATGGATGGAGAAGAGATTGAGGTTAACAGCAGCTTACTCAGCTCTACAATCAACACTTTTGGTATCAACACTCAGAAAATCAAAAGATGAATACCTTTAGTTAAGTCTGCTGTCAAGGACCTTTCCAGAGTACTGAGAAGCAAAAATGTCCATTGAGAGACTTAAGGTGTGGTCTTTGTAATTACTTGCTGTGCATTGGAGAGCTGGATGATGACCAAGGATGCTAGAAGAATTGGTGCCTTTTAGTTGTGGTGCTGGAGAAGTGTCTTAAACATACC